ATTTTATAGTAGCATTGCCCGATTTACAAAGTTTCCAATTTAAATTGCTAACTGTACCAACATTTTTGAGGGAGAAGGGTAAAATGCTTGCTTATCAGCCTCCCAGAATTGATAATCACTATTATCGGCTTATTGTTTTGCTTTTGCTCTAGATTGGTAGATGAAAATCTCAGAATATTTCAAAGAATTTTCTTTTATAACCATAGAGTATGATTGTATAATTTTCAAAAATTAAGAACTGTTATTAGTTCTCTTTTTTGATATTACTGCACTAGATTAAAATATATGTGCACACTAGCACAACACAGTAACTTAAATATTTGTTAATTAACAAAATTCACAGTTTTACAAGATTATAGTGTTGAAACATTTCTTAATACTGGAAAAGTATCAACTAAACGAAAGAAAATACCGTTACAAAAACATTGATGGTGGATACGTATTTTGTTTAATACGATAAATAGTACTAAAATACCCCCGCCGCAGCAAACCTGCAGACTAAGCGAATTTCCATTTGCCTGATTGGATTTACACTAAAATGTCTCCTTAAAAATATCACATTTATTCCCTATTTAAATAGAATCAGTTTAACACATACTTAGGTTTGCTGCAACAGGGAGGGTAAAAGTGTTTTTTTATGTAAAATGTTAATAGTTAGTAAGAAATTAAAACATTTTCCAAATTTGGGCAAAATATGTTAATAAACAAGCAAACTACAACAGTTTACTTATTCTCCATAAGAATAACATGGGAATTTTAAATTAACAATTTCTCCATAACCATTAGGTGCATTATAACGCTTCAATATACTAAATTATTTGTTTTTTTAAGCTCTACAAAATAGTTTGGAAAGAAATTACAAAATTTTATGTTTTTTGGGTCAAAAATTGGAAAAACCCATTTTTACCCCATAAAAGCCCCCATAAACCCCCGTTCCCATGGTCCGATCATGCTGGTTCGCAAACTCGTTCGAATAAACGTAGGTTTACACGTTTGTACCAAATTTCATCAAAATCGGATCATTTTTGCTCGAGTTATCGCGCTAACGGACACATATATATATATATAATATTATATATATATATATAATATTATATATATATATATAATATTATATATATATCAATTTTTTTTTTTTTTTTTGTTTTGATAGTTCTGTTCACTTTTTAGGGCTACTTTTTCAATTAATAAGCAAAATAATAAAAACCAGAGTACCCTGAAATTCATTTTTTATTCAAACTAATACGTATTTCGGCACTAAGGCCATGATCACAGTATGAGTGTTATAACTCATATTTTGCTTATTACAGTAGAGTCTCGCAAACTCGGCGTAATGTGGACTGGAAGGGTGCCGAGTTTGTGAAATGCTGGGTTATTGGGAACTAGATTAAAAATAAGAACAATAGAATTGTTAAGCTTTTTAACCTGCTTTTTTATTTATATTTATATTAAAAGTCAGTATTAAGTCGTCAGATATAGTACAACAAATCCTTGGGACAAGTTTTGCGAACGATTTGACTTGAGCTGGCTTGAGTCCATGTTTTACTTGGATTAAAAAATCACTAATTTTCTGAGCCAGGTGATGGCCGAGTTATCCAGACTGCCGGGTTATTGAGTGCCGAGTTTGCGGGACTCTACTGTATATTGATTTTGCTTATTATATATAAATATATATATATATATATACATATATATATATAAATAAATATATACATATATATATAAATATATACATATAAATATATATATGAATTTGAACGGATGGTGTTTTTGGCCTCTAGGGACCTCAAAACGAAAAAGAAAATCGGTCCCGGGTCCAGGTCTTACCATGAGTACTACGATAATAGTTTATTCCCTATATGGGAAATTCGCTAATAAAAAATTATAGTATGATTTACTAATGTTTTTTTACTTATGAAAACCAAAACATTTTAACACATAAAATGTAAGAACAAAATAATACGTTTACAATGATTATAATATTATATAAAAAATCAGTTGCCTCGTTTAAAATACCTAATTTAGTAGGCCTACTATACTACACATGTTAGGTTACAGTCGACTCTAACACTTTCTTTAAAAGAACAAATTTTTCTTTGTACCACCAAACATTTGTTTGAATTTTTAAAATATATATTCGTATCCTACACACTATTATGCATTATGCTTTATGTTATCCTCTTGTGCAAAGGTGTTTGTGTCACCGTTTGTATGTGTGCATTTTAGAACCAGATACTATTTTAGTCCCTATTTTATCAATTAATGATAATAAATTAAATTTAAGAATACAGTAGCACAAGACCAAGGTTTCGACCATTCCCTTGCAAAATACAAGTAGATCAATGTGTTGTCCACATAATTTGAAATGTGCCTTTTTATGAAAGAATTTGTACAAGTTGAACTCGAAACATCGTTGCCTGGATGGTTTGAAATATCACCAAAGGGTGATAAAGTGGGGGATGTCTCACATACCTATCGCCGCCAATAACCTCAATATTGCTGATAATATGACGGCTCCAACCCCACTGCCTCCTTCTAGCTTCCACCGTCGAAAATAATACTCCTAGTAAAGTTTTTATACATAAAAAACTTGTCTATACTATTATTTAAAACTGCCGTGAATCTCTACATTTCTGTATTTCCATTATACGAAATTCACTGTAAGAAATTCCGGTGGGAGCGAGCTGGTCTAGTGGTTAGAGCGCGGCACTTCGGTGCCTGAGTTCCCGGGTTCAAATCCCGCCAAATCACTAATGGATTTTATCTAAGTGATAATGCCGCAACCCCTAGGTCTAGCCTGAGGTGATGTGAAAAACAAAACCCGGTGCCTAGCGTCCTAGGACAAAAAAGATTGTACAAAATTTACTGGAACATACTCAACAAAATGTCACACGAAAATACCGAAACGAGGAAAGATGGAAATTTATCCATTTTGCTGTTAATATTTAAATATCACACAGGCCTCAGGCATTTGGAGTTCTAAGATGGAACTTTGGAAGTGCATAACTGCAAATAGTAAATAATTAGTATCCACGACAACAAAATAAATACAAATAAATTTTTTTCCCGTTTGGCATCTTTAATTTAAACAATAGAACAGCTTATTAAAAAAAATGAATTGATAATATTATTTTTGATCCCTATCTAAAGCTTAACTTACTTTTCTAATTTTAAAAATGTTCTTAAGCACTTTGTTGATCAAAACATCCAAAAATCAATAGTTATTGAGCAGAGGTTAATGCTTGTTGGATTACAACAATGAAACAATTTTAAAAGGCTGTTTTAATTCAACAATATATAGATGCAAGACACATAAACACCCACTAGCCATATTCACTTTTAAAATGTCTTTTATTAATTAAATTGTCGGACTTAGTCACTAACAAGACTAATGAATAAAAATTACAAGTATACAATAAAAGTCAACATATTCACATAAGTTTTCCCACGTACCAACATGAAAAGCAACAGTGCAAAATAATAACTTCAGGGATGAAAGTCAATTTATTGTGTAAATATGTCTTGAGTGTCTGCACATTTTATAAAGGGAAATGCAATAAGAGACATTACAGTAACATGTTTGATTTTCTTTTCGTCGCAATTTATGTTGAAAAGCATGTTCATATTTTGCAAAATTTCGGATACACTTAGGAACATTTTAGGTAGTGTTGTTTATTTTTATTTAGTGACTATAAATGGTAATTTGAATACTGTTATAAAACAATATAAATGTATGTTTTCAAACGAGCCAATACCAATAAGTACTAATATATTTAAGTGAAAGAATATTTTTGCAAAATATTCTTCAGAAAAACCACCTTTAAACATAATATAACAAATACAATATTAGTGTGACAGTGACAGAGGAACAATCTATGAAAGGAATTTCAATAAAAGTTTAAGCACTGCTCTTGTGATGAAAGATGAGCACTAAACTAAATAAAGTAAAGTGTCCAGGGCATCCCACGACAGTCCTTTCAAGTTTTCAAGTTCATAATTAATTACCCAATTGTGTAACCTTAAGTGTTTAAAAACTCATTGCCTCATCAGTCTTGTGGTCACAAAACTCTATTATCAACCATCAACTAGTAACATTAAACATTTCTGTATAGGATTAAGCAGGGCAACAACTTTTGTTGGACAGCTGTAGAAGAAAGAGGGAGAAGAAAAAGAAACTGACAACAGTGCAGAACCCTACCAATCCTTATATATAATATGTGAAGGCGATTTCTACGAAACAATACTCCTCCATTAATAATGGACGGAATTTTACAAAGGATGTGTCAAAACTAAGTATTTTTTGTGTAGACGCCCACCAATTCATGTAATAAAAGTCCTCAGGCTTTGCCCACAGGCCATCAAAATCACAATGTATTTCTTATGAAGAAAAGATTTTGTTTACATAAACAGACAAATAGTTTGTATTAATTACAGCTGTTCAGGTAGTAAATACATGATACACACAAGAGCGTTTTCAGAGTGAGTTAGTTTTCAGTTTTTATAACACCTGTAGTGGAGTGATTGATTACACGTTATCTTTTGAGTGTACTGTTTTAAGTAATCGGATTAATTCATTTTGAAATAACGCCTGTATTACTTTGCAATTGCTCGAATTCAAGCAACAGGTGCACTAAATTTTTATAACACCAGTAGAGCTGGAGACGCCACCTAGCTATTACAATTCTTAAACCAAAGAATGGCATTTCCGAGTAATTGAAATAAATATAGCTGGAAATACTTTTCAATACTAATTCTACATCAATGATTCAATTTATTCACCATTACAACCAGTAATCAACATGAAATAATCAAATGAAATTAAATGTAATCACTGAATGGTACAGTACTGGAGGTGTAAACAAAATTGTTAAATATTTACATTAAGAATTGGGGAAAAAGAGTTACTTACGTACAGCATGATCATTTTACTTCCAATAAAATAAAGACAACTTAAAAACACAAAATAATATACAGTGTATTATAAACAGTTTGTACCAAGACAAAAAAGTTTTAAAAATCTGAGCTGTGTACTACATACAAACTAATGTAGAATTCTTGCAGACCAAGCAGCAGGTTTAGGTTTGATTTTTCATAAAGACAGACAACCAAAACAGAATTGGGTTTCCCACCTTGTTTAAGACTTACATGTATTTGAGAAAAAACTGTCCAGCACTCTAGACATGTGGTTTTGAACGTTTTGGTATTGATCATTGGAACTGGTCAAACAGAACGGCTTACAGTGAGAGGCAGATAGGCTACTCATCATCATGAACACTTCCTCCAATCATATACGGGCATGCAGATATGTTAGTGGCTCTTCAACTTGCGTGTACATTTGGGAGTGTCAGACGGCTAAGAAAACGCTTGATCGATCTCTCCATTGATAGTGAACCCAGTAGCGCAGCGGCAAACGGACAGAAAAAGAATCTGTGGTTTAAGAGTTTCTGGTAATTTCTATAGTGTTCAGCGGTTCGCCATTGCTTAAGTTTCTTTGCTCACTCTCTCAGGCAAGGATACCAATAATTTGCATTGTACTATTGAGAGACTGTGGTGAAAACTTGTGATGTTCTTAAATTGAAGCCAAGCAGCCCACGCTGAGCTTCAGGTTTCCCACATGACATAGCTTCACACTGTTGGAGTTTTGAGTTATCGTGATTTTAGCACAGCTAAACATCTGAAAAAATAAAGATGAGTTATTTTAGGTAAATTTTATATATTTAGTTCAAGTATTAACTGACAAATAGCAATTTTTTTCAAATAGCAACCCCCTTCAAATGACCCCTCATTTTGAAGGGTTTGTCAAAAGAAACACAATGACGCAAACCCAAGGTGAATATCTCACCCCTAGCCAAAATGGCAGGCATTCATTCCAAAATTTGATTTACTGTATGGGGAAAAGCACCAATTTCACAAATAATGGAAAGAAATCTGTATTTTTTTAACCAAAATAGATAGAAATATTCTGTTTGTGCAATTGATTGTAAACATAGGTTCCACAATTTTTTTGCATCAACAATATTTTTTCAACCTCTTCAACAGGGAAGGGGGTGGGGTGACTTATTTTTTTTTTCAATAGCAACCCCTATTGAGTGACCCCTCATTTTGAAGGGTTTGTTAAAATAAAAACAATGACGCAAACCCGAGGTAGATATTTCACCCCTAGCCTAAATGGTGGGTATTCCAAAATTTAATATTTCTAAAAAAGCACCCATTTTGGAATATGCGCCATTTTGGCTAGGAGTGAGATATTCACCTCGGATTTGCGTCATAGTTTTATTTTGACAAGCCCTTCAAAATGAGGGGTCACTCAGTAGGGATTGCTATTTGAAAAAAATAAGTCAACCCCTACCCCCTACCGGGGATGCGGAATACTATCCCCCGGAAAACTACCCCCCCCCAGGTGAAACGTGACGTCACAAAATCTGCTAACTAACCAATATGGAAGCCGTGTCCGCGACTGGAATACTACCCCCCCTAGACAAATCATGCTATGTAATTTTAATTTTAATTCGAGTAATTCCGTTGGATAATAGAAAAGGCATGTGGTGAATATAAAACAGATTTTCGAAATGTTACAGCAAGTTTGGTTGGTTAGGTTAGGTTAGATTAGAACTGTTTGACAACTAAATTTGAGTGTCCGTGACTGGAAAACTGCCCCCCCGGTCTCTGACGTCGATATGACGTAGGAACCTGCTTGGGGGGGTAGTTTTCCGGGGGGCAGTCATCCGGCGACCCCCCCTACCCTGTAAGGGGGTTAAAAAATATTTTTGATGTAAAAAATTGCAAAACCTTTGTTAACAATTATTGTTACAAACAGAATATTTCTATCTATTTCGGTTTTAAAAATACAGATTTGTTTCAATAAATTTACACAATTTATAAGGTAATGGAATAATAACTAACTAATTTCTGTTAACATGAGTCTATATTTTGTCTCATTTGAATTTTACAGCATTTGGAGAGCGTTTAGTGATGCCGGTACATTTTACTCTGTAATTCCCGCTAGCCAGCGCGTCCACATCCGACTGAGATAGTTTGTCCGAAGCGCTTTGGTAAAAAACCATCTTCACTACATTGCCCACCAGTACCTCCAAAATAACGCTAGTGCCATATTGAGCATGGCTGTGCAACCGTGCCGCCGTGATTATGTAGCCATCAGTGTTGGTAAGCTCGGTCATGGGGATCCTTGAGGGTCCCTCGACAGCCTCCAGCTTGTCCAGTTTAGCACGGAGATCAGACATGGTTCTGAAACATTTAAACCTGTTAGTACTGTGAGAGTTTGTGACTACGAACAAACTTAGTAAAACGAGGATAATACAGGGCAATAACAGTTGTTAAAAACGAAACTAATTAACAAACGTAGTCTTACAGCAAAGTAAACCAATAACTATCCTAAGAAAATAACAACCTTGTAAAAAATAGTCCCAGCAAATCAAAGTAACATAAACCTATACAATACAAAATAGCCTGTAACAAAGCTCGATCCAGCACCGATCTACAGTAAACTAATCTCAAATTTGCTTAATTACTATTAGAACAGACGAATGACGGTAGTAACGTAATATTATAAATCTGATTCTATAACTAATAACGGGCTAATGTTACAAATACAAAGTGTAACTACTCTATATTTTCCTACCAATTATCAATGTATTACTACAACTCTGACACCACCCATCCACTAACCCATCAAAACTACAAAAGTATTTCACGTCAAATATAAATTTTAATGTGTTTAAAAAAGATTGTAATTTTTAATGTAGATTGCAAACTGCCAAAGACTGTCGCACCCATTTGGCAAGGTAAATTTAGAAAAAAACTCAATGTTGATTTGGTATAAAATGTTGACTAAACCTATAGTGCACATCACATGTACATATGACTAACTAGCCTCACAACCAGTACAACAATCAATACTGGAGACATGGTAACAACAGAACAAAACCACTTGATTTAGGAATCAAACAATTTAATTAAACAATTTAACGTTAGCCGATTATAGTGTTAACAACTAGGTAGTGAACAGCATCCTTTGTAAACAAGATAAACTATTGATTTCGTCAAGTAAAATCCTGGTAAATGAAATAATAGCTACAGTAATAAATCTAGTTGATGTGTAAGCTGATAGTACGTCACAACTCATACAACACAACCCAAACCAAAGTCAACAATGTAAATCAAGGCTAACTACTTTAACAATATCAACAACAATAATAAACCTGATCCTAACATCAAAGACAGGGACAAGATAAGCTGTACTAAACTAAACAACATTTTGAAGCAATGATCTGTTACAGCTGGAAGGATGGCGGCTACAAAAAAGGTAGTTTGTGCGTTTATTGACTGGGCTAGATGCGACAACGCAGCACAGAGGTGTTCACTAGCCTGCACGCACTCTCTTTGCCGACGCCCAGCTGAAGCTCAGCGTGAGCTGCTTGGCTATAATTAAAGAACATCACAAATTTTCACCACAGTCACTCAAGAATACAATGCAAATGATTGGTATCCTTGCCTGAGAGAGTGAGGAAAGAAACTTAAGCAATGATGAACTGCAGAACACAATAGACATTACCAGAAACTCTTGAACCACAGATTCTTTTTCTATCCGTTGCCGCTGCGCTACCGGGTTCACTATCAATGGAGAGATAGATCAAGCGTTTTCTTAGCCGTCTGACACTCCCAAATGTACACGCAAGTTGTTCGGAAAAAGATGTTGAAGAGCCACTAACATATCTGCATGTCCGTATATGATTTAAGGAAGCGTTCATGATGCTCAGTAGCCTAGCTGCCTCTCACTGTAAGCAGTTATGCTTGACCAGTTCCAACGTTCAAAACCACATGTCTAGAGTGCTGGACAGTTTTTTCTTCTTCATATAAGTCTAAACGAGATGGGAAAAGCAATTCTGCTTTGGTTGTCTGTCTTTGTGAAAAATCGAACCTCAACCTGCTGCTTTTTCTACAAGAATTCTACATTAACTTGTATATAGTATACAGCTCAGATTGTTAACACTTTTTTTATTATGGTACAAACTGTTTATAATACACTGTATATTATATGTTTTAATGGAAGTAAAATGCTCATGCTGTAAATAAGGCTTTTCAACATTTCCAATTCTTATAATTCTTCAAATTAATTTAATTCCGATTCTTAATTTAAATTACTAACAATTTTATTGAGCGGAGCGAGCGAAGCTCTTATACGTCGACTTTTATGCATTTCGTAATACGCAAACTCCTCCTAGACGGCTAAATCAATCGTTTTTAAATTTTGGATGGTGATAAAGACCATATCGGTGAGTGCCAACATCTATATGGCGTTAAAAATAACTCTCAGGAATCCGCCCCACTGGGTCTCAAAGTTTCAATGTAATCCTTATGGAAGCAGTATTTGACACATAAACAAAGAAATATGATCAGTTGTTGACTTTTGAATGCAATAGATAAATAAATAGCTGAAAGCATTATTCCACAGATATTAGAACATAAACGGTGGTATGGATCATAAAATAATCAAATGAGGACTTGAGGTCCGTGACGTAGGAAGTGTTAAAGTAAGTACTAAAGGTGAGCAGTCTGGAGTGTGCAAATTGTTTATGACGATTAGATTTAGGTATCTGCATTCCAAAAATTATACGTGAAGGGAGGAAAACGGGTCCGCGACGTAGGAAGTGATGAAGGAAGTAGTCAAGGCAAGCTGACCGGAGTGTGGGAACTGCTTATGACCATTATGTTAAAGTATCTGCAATCATAATATGCTATGGAAGGGAGAGAAACAGGTCTGTGGCGTAGGAAGTGGCGAAGGAAGTAGTAGGCGAGCAGTCCGGAGTGTTGGAACTGTTTATGACGATTAGAATAAGGTATCTGCAATCATAAAATAATATGGGAAGGGAGCAAAACAGGTCCGCGACGTAGGACGTGGTGAAGGAGGTAGTCAAGGCAAGCTGTCCGGAGTGTGGGAACTGTTTATGACGATTAGATTAAGGTATCTGCAATCCTATGATGCTATGGGAAGGGAGGGAAACAGGTCCGTGGCGTAGGAAGTGGCAAAGGAAGTAGTAAAGGCGAGCAGTCCGGAGTGTTGGAACTGTTTATGACGATTAGATTAAGGTATTTGCAATCCTATGATGATATGGGAAGGGAGGGGAACATGTCCGTCACGTAGGAAGTGGTGAAGGAAGTAGTAAAGGCGAGCAGTCCGGAGTATGGGAACTGTTTATGACGATTAGATGAAGATATCTGCAATCATAAAATGCTATGGGAAGGGAGGATAACGGGTCCGCGACGTAGGAAGTGATGAAGGAAGTTGTCAAGGCAAGCTGTCCGGAGTGTGGGAACTGTTTATGACGATTAGATTAAGGTATCTGCAATCATAAAATGCTACGGAAAGGGAGGGAAATAGGTCCATGGCGTAGGAAGTGGCGAAAGAAGTAGTAAAGGCAAGCAGTCCGGAATGTTGGAACTGCTTATGAAGATTACATTAAGGTATCTGAAATCATAAAATGCTATGGGAAGGGAGGAAAACGGGTCCGCGACGTAGGAAGTGATGAAGGAAGTAGTCAAGGCAAGCTGTCCGGGTTGTGGCAACTGCTTAAGACATAGACATAGACATAGACATAGACATATTTTATTTGCACATAACATTCTTTACATGTGTTACATACAGAATAGGTGCATTGTCAGAGTTCGAATTGTCAGAATATAAAAAATAAAATAGTAATCAAGAAGATAATATAAATTAACAAAATTGAATGATAAAACTATTCTAAACTAAAGGGGCATTGTGAAAATCTGCAATTAAATAAAAGGCTCTGTCAATTAAGAGTTCACCTATTTTATCTTTAAAATTATTTTCATTTAGCAATTTATAGTTTGCAGGCAGCACATTGTACAGCCTCAGCCCAGCATATAGTGGACTTTTTTCATAAAGGGTCAAATGGTGCCTTGGAAATCTAAAAATGTTTTCATTTCGAGTATTATATCTATGGTTGATTTGAATTGATTCTGGGAGGTCGTTTTTAGCTGAATGAATGTAGTTTAGTGATTCCAAGATGTACAGTCCTGTTAGGGTGTGGATTTTTAAATTTCGAAAAAGGTTTTTGCATGAACTACGTGGATGAGAGCTGGTCATAATACGGATAATGCGTTTTTGTAGCCTGAATATTGATTTGACTCCGGTAGCCTGACCCCATAAGATTATACCATACCTCAATACTGATTCTACATAAGCATGATAAACCATTTTCAGAGTTTCTTTAGGAACACAGTCCCTTAAGTGCAGAAATACAATTGACATGGATCTAAGTTTACTTTTTAATTGATTCAGATGTACATCCCATTTAAGTGATTCATCTATGTAAACACCTAGAAATTTATGAGACGTTGCCAATTTAAGGGATTCAATTTTATTACCATTGTTTCTGACAGAAAATTTTATTGTTTGCATTTTTTCAAGATTAAGTTTTAATCCATTGTTCAAGAACCAACCCTCCATGTCATGAACCACATTTTCAAGAGAAGATAGCATTTCAGAAGTACTGTTATTTTTTATCAAGGCTGTTGTATCATCTGCAAAAAGAATTAGTTCCTGATCAATAGCTTTAGGGAGGTCATTAATGTAAATTAGAAAGAATAGAGGACCTAAGATTGAACCTTGGGGCACACCTGCCGATAGGTTTTCCCATGGCGAATAGTACTTGATCTTATCCAGTGTTATTACAGTTCTTTGTTTTCTATTAGAAAGGTAAGAACTCAATAGAGAGTGACAACTTCCCCTAATACCATAATCACTCAGCTTGAGCTGAAGGACTGAGTGATCAACACAGTCAAAAGCTTTGGACAGGTCACAGAAAACACCAGCTTTATTAAGGCCATTATATTAAGGTATTTGCAATCCTATGATGCTATGGGAAGGGAGGGAAACATGTCCATCACGTAGGAAGTGGTGAAGGAAGTAGTAAAGGCGAGCAGTCCAGAGTGTTAGAACTGTTTATGACGATTAGATGAAGATATCTGCAATCATAAAATGCTATGGGAAGGGAGGATAACGGGTCCGCGACGTAGGAAGTGATGAAGGAAGTAGTCAAGGCAAGCTGTCCGGAGTGTGGTAACTGTTTATGACGATTAGATTAAGGTATCTGCAATCATAAAATGCTACGGAAAGGGAGGGAAATAGGTCCGTGGCGTAGGAAGTGTCGAAAGAAGTAGTAAAGGCGAGCAGTCCGGAATGTTGGAACTGCTTATGAAGATTACATTAAGGTATCTGCAATCATAAAATGCTATGGGAAGGGAGGAAAACGGGTCCGCAACGTAGGAAGTGATGAAGGAAGTAGTCAAGGCAAGCTGTCCGGGTTGTGGCAACTGCTTAAGACCATTATATTAAGGTATTTGCAATCCTATGATGCTATGGGAAGGGAGGGAAACATGTCCCCGTCACGTAGGAAGTGGTGAAGGAAGTAGTAAAGGCGAGCAGTCCAGAGTGTTAGAACTGTTTATGACGATTAGATGAAGATATCTGCAATCATAAAATGCTATGGGAAGGGAGGATAACGGGTCCACGACGTAGGAAGTGATGAAGGAAGTAGTCAAGGCAAGCTGTCCGGAGTGTAGGAACTGTTTATGACAATTAGATTAAGGTATCTGCAATCATAAAATTCTATGGAAAGGGAAGGAAACAGTTCCATGGCGTAGGAAGTGGCGAAGGAAGTAGTAAAGGCGAGCAGTCCGGAGTGTTGGAACTGTTTATGAAGATTAGATTGAGGTTTCTGCAATCATAAAATGCTATGGGAAGGGAGGGAAACAGATCCGTGGCGTAGGAAGTGGCGAAGGCAGTAGTAAAGGCGAGCAGTCCAGAGTGTGGGAACTGTTTATGACGATTAGATGAAGATATCTGCAATCATAAAATGCTATGGGAAGGGAGGATAACGGGTCCACGACGTAGGAAGTGATGAAGGAAGTAGTAAAGGCGAGCAGTCCAGAGTGTTGGAACTGTTTACGACAATTAGATTAAGATATCTGCAATCATAAAATGCTATGGGAAGGGAGGATAACGGGTCCGCAACGTAGGAAGTGATGAAGGAAATAGTCAAGGCAAGCTGTCCGGAGTATAGGAACTGTTTATGACAATTAGATTAAGGTATCTGCAATCTTAAAATGCTATGGGAAGGAAGAGAAAAGGTCCGAGTTGTATGAAGTGGTGAAGGAATTAGTAAGGAGAGCATTGTGGAGTGTGGGAACTGCAAACCGTTTGTAGTAGTTAAATTAATGTATCTGCAATGCTGAAATGCTATGAGAAGGGATGGAAGCATCCCCACGACAGAGAAAATGGTGAAAGAAGTAGTAAAGGCTAGCAGTGCGGAGTGTGGGGAATGTTTGTGGCAATTAGATTAACGTATCCAAAATACTAAATTGCTATGGAAAGTGATGAAAACAGGTCCACGATGTAGAAAAAGGCTTAGAAAGTAGTAAAGTATGAGCATAGTGTAAAAACCGTCTGTGGCAGTTAGGTTGATGTATCTTTAATCCAAAAATGCTATGAGAAGGGAAGGAAACAAGTCTATGACGTAGGAAATGGTGAAGGAAGTGGTAAGGCTTGCAGTTCAGAGTGTGGGAACTGTCTTTGGCAATTACATTAATATATCTGCAATTTAAAAATGTTATGGGAAGAGAGGGAAATAGGTCCACGACGTAGGGGGTGGTGAAGGAAGTAGTAAAGGTGAGCGTGTTGAGTGTGGGAATGGATTAATGTATCTGCAAAGCTAAAACGCTATGGGAAGAGACTGTAGACTGTAGCTTAAAATAATTTCGAAGCACGAATCGATACATATTTCGATACATGCAATCGTTTATAATAGAAATTTACAACTGAGTGAGGATAAAAACTTTTTTTACTTCCTAAAGAGTAAAATTGCTACTTTAGACCCGCAACGCATGCATTAAAAACTACTGGTATTACTGCAGTATGACCAAAACAATATAATATAAACCCTTGACGACTCCGCTCAATTTTGTGGATGCCTCTGCCTAGTTTACGCCTCCAGTACTGAGTACCATTGAGTGATTACAGTACATTCAATTTAATTTGATTTCATGTTGATTGCTGGTTGCAACGGTGAAAATTGCTGTTCCAAAACTACCTATCGATTAACATATAATAATCATTGATGTAGAATAAGTATTGAAAATAATTTCCAGCTATATTTATTTCAATTACTCGGAAATGCCATTCTTTGGTTTAAGAATTGTAATAACTAGGTGGGGTCTTTATCTCTACTGGTATTATAAAAAGATAGGTAAAGTTCTGTCCTGTTGTCAGTTTCTTTTTTTCTCCCTCTTTCTTCTACAGCTGTTCAACAAAAGTTGTTGCCCCGCTTAATCCTATACTGAAATGTTTTTGTTCCTAGTTAATAATAGAATTCTGTGACCATAAGACTGATGAGGCTCTGAGTTTTAAAATCAATCTAGTTAATGAAATGTTGAAGAAGGGCATAAAAAGTGGGATGCGACAATGATCGCCCAACACTGTTAAGATTACAAACATGGATATTTTGTGAACTTGAAAGGACTGCAGGATGCCCTGGACACTTGACATTTAGTTCAGTGCACATCTTTGATCACAAGAGTAGTGCTTAAACTTTTATTGAAATTCCCTTCATAGATAATTAATGAAGGCTGACTGGGCTAGATGCGACAACGCAGCGCAGAGGTGTTTACTAGCCTGCACACGCTCTCTTTGCCGACGCCCAGCTCTTCACCAGGTCATCTAGATGACCAACCAATAATATATTTATTAAACCTTGAAAACATACTAATACTTTTGTTGAACCATATTTGCATATTACTTTTATTTAAATAAAGTAGACATGGAGAAAAACAAAATGTTGTACTCTGGTGCATGGCAAACAGAAAAGGTATTCCATAATCAGACAAAGATTTCAAACCTGAACTTATTTTGTTGAAGAAGTGTTTGAGAACTTGCACCCAACACAACTGCATTAAATCTGCGGTAAAATCGAGATGTTTGACGGTGGTGGAAAAGCTGAGTGATGTATGGATAGGAGATTGTATAGAACGTGCACGCATGTCCATACACCAGTCAACTGATCAGCCTCGACCTTGGCCTTGAACTTGGAGATAGAAGCTACCTTACTGATAACACCGATGTCAGCTTCATTCCCGGAACAATTAAGACTAGGACAGAGTTGCTCTCGTTGAATGGTAAACCTTGGTCAACGGGAAATAAGCAGTGTTCTCTTTGTTATATGTGCGAAATTTAAACTACAAATCAGTCCATCACTGTATGTCCATTTTTAAGTAATCTTAGATTAACATTTTTACACAATAGGGTCCATTCTGAAGGTGATGGCAGGAATTGGCGATCGTTCGTACATAATCTAAAAAGCACATCCTGGCAATACAGGTGGATCTTAATACATGAATTTGACAAATATAAAACTTATATTAAAAATTAACAAAATTTTCAACACCATAAAAATAAACCGATATAACTTTAATGAACTCAGACAAACTGGTTAATTCTTTGTTTGAAGTTCATTGTTGGTGATGGTGAGTTAATGTTGTTCAAAGGTTTATTGCGGACATTTTCCATCACGAATGTAAAAAACAATACACAACGTTTCGGGATCTGGAATCTGATCCCGTCTTCAGGTGAAAAAAACTTAACTAACACATTACAACTAACAATACACAAACGCCCAACCTAAGTTGGAATACACTACCGATACTAGGATACTTGGATACTAGGGTAGTAGTAAAAAAAAATGCACTGTATAGCAGTCAAGTCATGATCCAACATGCAATTAATAACAAATCACAAAACGACTATAATCTATAAAAGGTTTAACGTCAAAAACTCACACAATGGAACACTAATAGCACCGTACGCAAAGACTCCAACAATAAACCTACCCGCAATAAACCTTTGAACAAACTGGTTAAATTGTATTTCTATGTCTTAACTTTAAAACTATGGTTATACATTGTTAGTTTAAGGAAAGATGTTCAATTTCATTTTGAAGGAATTAATGTTTAGTTTAAGAACAGTTATGTTAGAATTAGTTTTAGACGTGCCAACCGGCAGACTACCGCTTTTTCATTCATTCATTCTTATGTAATATATATATATATATGTATGTGTGTATGAATTTGAACGGTGTTTTGTCTTGGGGACGACAAAGCCAAAATTATATCAGTCCCGAGTCTAGGTCTTCATGAGACCTAAGATGTAGCTTATTCCCTGTATGGGAAATTCTCTGAAAATGAATTAGCTGATGTTAAGCGCTATGCAAGAATAAGCCAAAAACCCGTGTTTTGTGAGAATGTTTAAAGTTTCCCTCTAAACAAAAAATCTCATAATTAAGATGTACAATGAGTCCAACAGAACCAAATGTAATAAAACTGTGACTTACCTAACCTGGGTAAAAACAGCCCATCAGTTGGGCTTCTCGTCGCTGTCTCAAAATCTGATATTATGAATTGGGGATTCCAATTCGGGATCTCCCCCCGGATGTACCGGAGAACCCTAACGTAGGCAGATTGGCTTTTCAAAGACATTATGGCGTATGCCACATGAAACAGCTGTACAAAATTGTATTTTCTAATTAATATAAATTCTTTTTGCCTAATATCATTGACTATTCTGTGTATAGTCAATGTTAATAGTCTATAATACCATAAAACTATTTTCTATACACTAATGTGAATGACCTGTTTTTGTTGCTTGTTTATAAACTGCGAAAATCCATCATTATCGGTCATCGTCGGCTTAGTTCATAACCGATTGAAAATATATTTATGCTACATTATTCATTTCATATTTGTTGACTGACAAATACCAACCTCTCAAAAAAGCCCTTTCTAATGCATTTTACTCATGAGAATTAATTTGTTGATGTAAATTAAAATCCGAGAGTCATAGATTTGAATTTTATGAGTAAGAAACCTTCTTCGGATGAAACAAATTTTAAAAATTAACTGAGTAACTCGAGGGGACTTAAACGTCTGCAAGTGCTTCTCGCAGCGCTGTTCAAAGGTGCAACATAGCTACTGTAGCCCCGATTTTCAGAGCATTTCCGAGCAGAGGTAGAGCGTACCCTTAAAAGAGACAAAATATTATTGTCTAAGGCTAACTTCTTTCTTTTACTTCATACTTTTGCGAAGTCTATAGTTTTACATTACAAACAACAATTATTATGTAGGTTAAATTTGATTCATATTAAAATACTTACTTCATGCATGTACTCAGCATGGACTGTTATCAACTGATATGCATTCAGCTCCTGTGGCAACACCTTAAATGTTGCATCCATGTGGAGCCTTGTCGTCTGTTGCAGCATGGGATCATTCTGCAGCCGCGGGGATATATACGGCTGCAGTCCAGCCCTCTTTCTGGCCACCTATCAGACCAGGGAAAAAGTTACCAGCATCCTCTATTGTCCTCTATACCCCTTTCAAATGGCTGTATTCCGGTCTTTCAAGTATTGCCGCAAACTCAGTTAATGAATGTGGCATTGGAGGCAGGCCTTGCCTCATTGACATTGGAGGGAAACTCGATGATCGGCGCAGCAACAGGGAACCTAAATCAAATAAGTTTATTCAATCAATATATTTATTTTAAGAGGCTGATTCAGCAACGTGAAATAAAAAAACCCTGTCACGTTTTTATATATGATTGACCTAAAAAACGTTGTTCATTTACATTTAATAATTAGTTGTTTTGCAACTATAAGATTGAAAAATAAAATGTCAAAAATAAAGAAAAAATAAGTAAATAAGGTACCGGTAGAAAAAAGGTAAATCATGTATGTCAAAATGTAATTTGAAAATTTGGTAAAATTTCTTCATATCAGCCTAAATGTTTCTATTTCGTGTCCTCTTACCGTTGCAAAGTTTTTAAAATGTGACTTAGAAAGTTTTTTATGAAAAGTTGTCTGGTTGTTTGGTTGTTAAAACTGGCACATCCTTGAAGTGAGTGTCAGAGATGTTAAACGCCTGGATTTCCCGAAAAAAAATGTTATTAATAACTTTTGTGTTATGTTTAATGGCTGTAAAACACTTTTAGAACAACCCCCCCCCCCCAGCTTATGATTCCGAAGGATAAAAATGATTGAACAAAAGCATACTAGACATTAATTTACAAGATACAAGATAAGATACAAGAACTTTATTGTTAGTAAAATGCGTAATGTGGTACATTAGTATCTCCTAACTCGTCAACTAATCCTAAACATAAACATAAACATAATTTAACACAATTTAACTTCTCCACCTTAACATATTCTAACATTCTATAATTAGTAAATTAAATTCATCATCAGTCACTAGCCAAAATTCATCTATTGTGAACAAACAGAGCTTAATTAAAACTTTCTTCAACTTTTTTTTAAATAAATTAAGAGGGAAATTTTGAAATTGATTTGGTAGATGGTTCCAAGTCTTGGAGCAAAGAAAATACTTGCCAATTTTGCTTGTCGCCTTATGTCATGCCTACTGATATGGATGTTACTTTTATCTCTAGTGTCATATGAGTGAATTTGTTCATTTGTTGTTTTAAAGATGTTAGCTTTGAAATATATTAAAAATCGGTGAATGATTATGCAAGGAACGGTAAGAATCTCAAGATTTTTGAAAGTTTCCACACAAGAATCCCCAAAGCTCAGTCCCGCCATACACCTCAAAACTTTTTCAAATGGCTAGAAGTTGATTTATGTTTGTTTTGGTAGTGTATCCCCATATTTCGATACAGTACGTTAAATTGGAATAAAAAAATTAGTAGTAGATTTTTTTCAAAGTTTCAATAGAACATACTTAACCAAATCTTCTTAATATAAAATTTCATTTCACTTGCATTTAGAATCCGATTCAGCTGACCGAAATCATAGGATATATTTTCTAATTTTACTGTTTAAATAAGCAAAAATAACTATGACTAGACAAATTAAGATGGCAATCAAAGACCATTCCTAAATATTTGTAATACTCTACTTTTTCAATAGATTCGCATGTACAGTTGGCGTCGAGGAAAGTTCAGCCACAACCACAACCTATTTTTGCTTATCACAAACAAGAAGCTGTAGCTCTCTTTAGCAGCTGGTTGATGTTTTCCAACCCTCAGATGTTAAGCTATTATTTTAATGGTAGATGGTCAAGTGGAGGGGATTGATTTCTTCCACTAAAACCGCCTAAATTTTGTAAATAAAGTATGACTCAAACTGCTTTAACAAATCTTCATAATTAAGCCTTAAAAGTTGACATTACACCCCAGACAATGAGGATCAGGATAGGCCTACGTGGGTTATCAAGCTACTTTTCTGGGTGCAAGCTAACAGTTTGTGTATATTACCTTTTTCTATAGAATGTATTTTTTATTTACATTATGGGCTTAGTGGCCGTTTAAGGCACAAAAACTCCAAAATTGATAATGTCCTACACATAAGTAGTTGTAGCCAAGAGCTGAATGGCCAGTTGCAGTATATGTGCTATTGTGCTACCTCTGCATGAATTTAGTATAGGCCTGTAGTCTTTTGCTTTTGTTAAGCATTACTTAAACAGATCTTGGTTTCCACCTCAGCCTATGGTAGAGCCCCTCTGATCCGGCTGTCAATTGCAGCCAACTGGAATGAATCTTCTGTTCTGGCAAACAGCGGGAAGACTTATTAATTTTAAAAGTTTCCTCTAGCCATCTGAAAAATAAATCAATGGTTACACTTTTATATAATTAAATAGCGTATGAAAAATTTGCTATTTATGGGAAATTTGCCTAAATGGGAAATTTGCTAAAAAGGAAAATAATTTTTAAAATTTAGGATTAGGTGTTCCACAATTTTTGTACCACAAAACAGTTCAATATGCCAAGATGAATAATTGATAATTGATTGATTGATTGATGTCATAGAGAGAAATGTTTCTAGCCAGGACCGGATTTTTAAGCATAAGCAACATAAGATCGTGCCTAGGAGTCCGTGCTACAAAATAAATTAAATGAAATTACTTTTACTTAACACACGAAAATTCAAAATTTCAAATAGTATATTTCATCACTAAGGAGTTTGTAAAGTGACTCTTTTCGACCTGAGTTTAAGTTTTGCAATCGAGGCGAAGCCAAAGTCATGAAAATTTTTTGTCATGTTGCATCAATAATTAAGCTAGAAAACAAAATAGAGGATAAATAAAACGATGTTTGTCATATAGGAGCCTACATAGTGAAAACTTATAGGCCTATGCAGTTAGAGAGTATTGAGCCATTTGAAGAATTTTATGTTACTTGAGTTTAGAATAACACGTTTAAGGATAGAGGCCTATTAGAAGATCCAAACAAAAGTTTGATTCTTCTATCAATGGCAAACGGCTTGATTGAATTCCCTAAGTATTACACACCATTGTCACCAGAAATAACAGAGATGAACTCAAAAGAAAAGGAAACACTCCTGACCATAGCATCCTGGAAGGAAAACAATAATATAAGTAGTTACTTGGTAAAGATTTCACAAAAAGATTTTGAAAAAACTGGCTGGCTTCTATCGTAGTCGATTACTGCAATGCTACATGTCTCCAAAATGGAAGACCTCGTTAAACCCAGGTTTTCAAACCAATTTCAACTGAATTCAAAAAACTAAGCTTGGTCTTTGTGCCATACAACAACTGCAATCACTTTTGTTAGTTTACATTGTAGATCTAAAGAATAAAATGTTGACCCATCTTGACCTAATGAATGACGAACCGATAAGAGGCTAAATTAAAAGAAATATGAGAAAATCAAGGAATTCCTACAAATCAGAAATTTATCTATAGAGGAATCAATCAATGTCGACAAATTAAACTTCATCATTAATTAAACTTTCCCCAGCAAAGTGTTGGTAACAGCTGTGGAGTTTACGTATTAATTACAACTCAGTAGGCTATTAAAGCAAAAAAAACAAGATTGACGATATAAATATGGTAGCCTATTTGACTGCACCGAATTTAGAGAGAAACTTTAACCACGCTGTCTCCGATTAACTGAGCGTAGATAGATGATAGCCTTGTCTACGAAAAAAGGTCTAATCAGCTTCACCATCAGTGGTGCCAGTGTCAAAAATGTAAAAGATGGTTAAACATTACTTCCGCATAAAAAGACATCAATCCTATCGTTAAAATAGGCTCTGTTTTGTTTACATTTTATTTCTAACATGTGTTCAAACTGTTATTATGATTAGCCTACTAGTTGAATTGTTTATAAATTACATTTTCAGAGTGACTCTTTTGTACCCTCTCAAGAGATTCCTCGGATGACACAGCAATGGTAAAGCTCCTTGGTTTCCAGCTGGACAGCCGACTAGACTAGAACAACCACGCTGCCCATGTTGCCCAAGGCCTGCTCGAGTGTCTTCTGAGACGCCTCCGGAAATGTGTCACTGAGCAGTAGGCCTACCTGCTGAATGGTATACCATACCCTGTTCCATTCGCACATTGCGTACGGACTGCACCTTTGGAGTCATGTGTCAGAAAGGCAAGGGCAGTCCCAGGGGGGGGGGTCAGGGGGGTCATAACCCCCCCCCCCCCCAAATAGTTTATATATAGATAAACTATTATACCAGGGGAACTTTAATAATTTTTATTGCAAATCGTTCTACCATATTGAAATTCATTTTAGTCTTTACACTTTACTTGTGGTGAACGAATGGACTAATCACAAACTCTAACCCAAACCTCGGGATCGTTCGAGTCTGACTATTTTTTGTGCGTTATGAAAAGTAGGGAAGATCGGCAGACGACGGACGCTTTCAGCCATATACGGCAACGGCAGTGTCCGATGCTGGCGTTCGACGTTCGGCCGCATTTTTCTTCTTATTTATTTTTTCGGCATTTAATGTTATCATTCATTTTAACCTAGATGGTTGAAAACTTGAATTGGGTAGGCCTATTGGATAAAGAAAAGAATTTGTATCAATAGTCAAAGCTTGAAAGGTAGTTGAATATTAATTTATCTGAGATCAGCGATAGGAATTTGTTATTACAGTAATGTAATTCAATGATTACCGAAGAAAATTTTAACACTTTCAATATTAAATATCATTCTTATGTAGAGCACCTGATATCATATTTAAGAATAACACAACCCAATTGTTATGTTGCTAGCCACGAAACAACAACAAAATGGTAATGTCTCAGACTAAGATGCGGAAGGGACGGATTTAATTCCCGGCACAACAATGGGCACAACCACAAAAACGTTGCACAAAAACTTTATTTTCACGTTGACCCCTTGTAAAATTCCACTGGCGTAGAAAAAAATTAGAACACTGAGAACCAACTCTTCAGGCGGTAGAAGTGGCGGGACGCCGACGGCAACGTTAGTTGGGTAGTGTACTTTGTGTAGGTTAACTGTTGCTTGCTGGGCAAGTATAATGCAGTCGTGTTGGGTGCAAGTTCTTAAACACTTCTTACATAAAATAAGTTCTCTGGTTCAAAATCTTGGTCTGATTTTGGACAATTTCTGTTTAGCATGCACATTGGCACCAGTTGAAAGGGTGTTTTCGTAAATCAAACATGCTTAAATGTGTTTTAATGTTGCGGTATTCCTTTGATATTAAAACCATAAGTCTCAATAATAAAAAACATGACATTATAGAAGTTTATTTTTAAAAATTTTTTACATTTAAAAAATAAACTGGGAAGCTTGAACACATTAAACTAGGTCCTCAAAATAGCTTAAAAACCACTAATTTTAGCACGTTATTTCCAAATTTTTCCCGGGGGATGGAATACCCCCCAGGCCCCCCGGTGACCCCCCCCAAAATATATGTCTAGGACCGCCCTTGCAGAAAGGGAGAAAGTACTAAAGCTTCAAAAAGCGGCAAGCCGTATCATCTCAAGGAGCCCTGTTAGAGAACACTGCAAACCGATTTTTAAGAGACTTGGAATTTTAACCATCTGGAGCCATTACCTCTACGCCTGCCTGATTGAAATCAAATGCAGTGTTCCATTTCTCAATACACATCCATGCTAATAACACCTGAGCTTTCCCGAATCTTGATGTCCCCCAGGCAAGACTGAGCAGAACGCTCAATTCCTTCCCCACATCTGCCATCAAGTTTTTCAACAAACTCCCTTCCAGCATTCGATGACTGGACGACCGGAAGTTCAAGACTACTGCAAAAGACTTGATGATGAAAAGACCATACTAAAAGGTGGCTTCTTTGAAGATAATCTAGAGCGGAATAGTTTGTGACGCAAATTTCCTGCCGACAAGTACTCGTATGGTAACGCAGGAAATTCCGCCACCTTAACAAGTGATGAAGTCCCAGGAATCGCACGAGTCGGGTTGCTGGGATTTTCCAGGAGTCGATAGTGATTAGGATAGCTTCGTCGACACTAGTGATCAGTGTTACCAACATGAACTAGACACAAAAAAGGCCTACAAAATTTACAAAAAAGTCAACAACCCCACTTCTGTTGGTTAGTCTACCAGTAATAACCAAGTAACCTATTGTTGTAAAAATTCCAACTTCTTATATTTTGCCATGTAGGCTAGGCCTAGTAGGTCTTCTTAATGAACACAATTAAATTATTCTGCTGAGTCTGACAAAATAGGCTACATCTTAAGTAAGGCTCAGTAACCGAGATTTGCTACTATTATTACCTAACTAAGTACTTACTAAAATAATAAACTTTAAAACATCTGGCTACAAATTTAATATGGGGATAAAATAGTTGTATTAATAGTCAAAGCTCTTATGTTCATAATAAAAGCATGAATTTAAAATAGAATTTTCTTTCCAATAGAGCAAACTAATAATGCCGATAATATAACAATATCTTTAACTTAAGCAGGACTGACATTGAACCGTCCATTGTGCAATACCGTACTAGCTGTACTCTCTGAATTTTCTTCATTGGATTTATTTGCAAACCATGTTTTGTGCGTTAACGCAAGCATATACATAGCTGACCTTTATGTTACTGCTTTTTAGTTGCTGTATAGTATTTTTCAAAAAATTGAAATTCGTATGGTCAAATTTTGTCAATTGATTTTCGCATTAAAATTATTCCTATCCACTTTCTAGGTTTTGGCAGTGACATTCACTCTTGGCGATAAATTATCCTCGATACACATACCAATGCTCCAGAATCGGTGGCATCGAGAATCAGCACATCTCTACCAGAAAGCTTTAAATTAGCGCTGTTTTTGGGCTGAGTAATCAGCTGATGATAGAGCATCACTTTCCCGTTGTCCGCTAACCCTAACACAAGTCTCCACGCAGACAATGTAGGCTATTACCCTACAACAACATAACCTAATTAACACTACAGTATTTTGTATGCCTTTATATAAACGGCAAGATAAAAAACAGTTGTTAAACACAGTTCTCTAGTTTGGAAAATGTAAACAAAACGTTAGTAAGAACATATGATAACTTCTAACAAGCAACAGTTTTTTGTAATTTTTAAGCGAGAAGGGGCCCCATCCCTTGAGTTGGGGGCCCTCCGCGATCGCGGACCTAGCCAGTGAAAGAGAAAAAGAAAGGTCGAAACGAAAAATAAAACTGCCGTTTAAACGTAAATCATAACTAAAACTTGCACTTTCTCGCGTGCGTGGACAACTTGGCAAACTTTTGCCAAACTAGGCAAGCAGAAACTTGTCTGATGGGACAAACTTGTGGACATCACACTAAATTTAAAAGGATTTTACTTAGCCTAAGTAGGCCTAACTTAAAGATTAAAAATTAAGTCGCAATAGAAATTTTAAAACATTAGTTTTAAAAGGGTGTCACCAACTTCAATTTTCCCATTAATTGGTTGGTTGAATACCGTGGCGATAACGTGTAGGCCTAGTAGTTAGGCCTGACGTCAGGCCTAGCCTTCGAATTATGACAAAGTTTGGCTCACTAAAACTGGAAGGGAAATATTAATATACAACTACACACAACTCACCAAAAGACGAAATATACTTACAAATTTCACCACAAAACTGTGAAGGTAACTTAGCTTCAAATCAAAGTGGCTTGAAACTTTAACGAACGCGAATTTATCAAGACCACGATTACTAGAAAAATACTACGAAGACGATGGAAGTACGAACTTGAAACGAAACAAGTAACTTCGAAAGGAATAGCCGCCAGCCGGGTCGAGAATAAATAACTAGACGACTAGACAAGAATTAGTTTATAGTTTAGTTATTTAGTGAGTACCGTATCATGTATTATAAAGTCTATCAGAATCAGACAGAACAACACGAACACAGGAGGACACACACAACGCATACACAAACAAACATAAACATAACCAAAAACAACAAACGAACAAACGTAGAAAAAATATTTGCGAAAAAAATTAGAGGAAAAGGAAACTGACATTCAAGAAGACCACCTCACAAACAACAAAATATTGTATTGGAGGTAAAAGCATTGATTATTATACTCATGGTGAGGGGATAAATGAGTGGAATGTTATAATTGACTCAAGATAGCGATCTTGATGGAAAGTGATCAGTGGCTCACTCTCCCCCCAAGAGATGTATAAAGGGTTTTGGGAGAATCTGCGCGTTCTAAAATAACAATGAAAATTCTCTCCCCGTCATTGCCTCCCCTTGGATTCCAGGAAGGACAGCGGGGGAATATCGGTGCACCGCTGGGGCGGGATTACGGGTCGCGGCGAAGTTTCGGTATCTACCTGGATTTTGCGGGGGAGTTTCGGTGCGCCCGTCTGAACTGTGACGTGCCGTAACTATGTGTGAATCGACCTTTATTGTAAATAAATGGTGTGGATGCTAATTATGGATATGTTAAAGATAATTGATCAGCTGATTAAATACGAGCATATCTATTAAAAGTCCAATGATCAAGGATAGCTGGGTCCAGATGAAAAACAAAACAAAAGCTAACTACTATGTCTTTTCTAAGGGTCGGCTACTGTCCTTCTGATTGTTATCGATATGGGAGCATGTTATCATCCATACACATGCATGTTTGTGGATTTTAAGCGCTCAAAAAATGTAGGCAGCTGTGCTGTGATTTAAATCAACATTCCTAGTGTTAACTTCTGGCATCAACCAATAACAAATCTGTTTAAGGCTTAAGGCGCCATGCTGGTCGATCGGGAGCTAGTCAAGGTGCCAACATGACAACTTGATGTCACAAAAAATAGGTATGAGATGGACGAGATGGTGGTGACGTGGTGGCGCCTTGTCAGTGTAGCACCCAGACGTGAGCGCGTGCACGAAAACCTGGCATCTCTTTACCAATTACTAGGTGGCGTTCGCAGAGGCATCCACAAAATTGAGCGGAGTCATCAAGGGTTCATATTATATTGTTTTTGTCATACTGCAGTAACAGTCGTTTTTAATGCATGCGTTGCGGGTCTAAAGTAGCAATTTTACTCTTTAGGGAGTAAAACTCGTTTTTAGCCTCTATGGAGTAAAAATCAGCTGTTAGTTAGTTGTCAATTAACTAAGTTGTATATTTCGATTGTAAACGATTGCATGTCATGTATCGAAAATATGTATCAATTCGTGCTTCGTAATCATTTTAACCTAAAGTCTCTTCTTATAGCATTTTAGCATGACAGATCATTAATCCATTCCCACACTCAACACTGCTCACCTTTACTACTTCCTTCACCACCCCCTACGTCCTGGACCTGTTTCCCTCTCTTCCCATAGCACTATAGGATTGCAGATACATTAATAATTGCCAAACACAGTTCCCACACTCTGCACTTGTAGCCTTACTACTTCCTACACCATTTCCTACGTCATATACCTGTTTCCTTCCCTTCTCATAGCATGTAAGTATTACAGATACATTTATCTAACTGCCCAAACGGTTCCTCCACTCTGCACTGCCAGCCTTTACTACTCCCTTCACCACTTTCTACGTGGGGCCCTAGGAGGATTAAACGTGGGGCCTGTTTCCTTCCCTTCTCATAGTGTTTTAGGATTGAAGATACATTGATCTAACTGCCAAAAACATTCCCCACACTCCGCACTGTTAGTCTACTATTTCTATCACCATTTCCTATGTCGTGGGCATGCTTCCATCCCTTCTTATAGCATTTCAGCATTGCAGATAGGTACATTAATCTAACTTCTACGAACGGTTTCCAGTTCCCACACTCCACAATGCTCGACCTTACTACTTCCATCACCTCTTCCTACGTCGCGGACCTGCTTCCCTCTCTTCCTGTAGCATTTTAAGATTGTAGATACCTTAATCTAATCGTCATAAACAGTTCCCACACTCCAGAGACAGCTCGCCTTGACTATACTTCATTCTCCACTTCCTAAGTCACGGACCTGTTTCCCTGCCTTCCCATAGCGTTTTAGGATTGCAGATACCTTAATCTAATCGTCATAAAAAGTTCCCAAACTCCGGACCTTAATCTAATCGTCACAAACAGTTCCCCTAGTCCGGACTGCTTGCTTTTACTACTTCCTTCACACCACTTCCTACGTCACGTACCTGTTTCCCTCCCTTCCCATAGCAATATAGGATTGCAATTACCTTAATCTAATGGTCATAAACAGATCCCACTCCCCGAACAGCTCACCTTTACTACTTCCTTCACCACTTCCTACGTCACGGACCTCAAGCTAGTGTCGTCATTTGATTATATTTATGATCCATACCATTCCTGTTCTAATATCTGTGGAATAATGCTATCAGCTATTTATTTATCTACTGCATTCAAAAGTCAACAGCTGATCATATGTCTTTGTTTATGTGTCAAATACTGCTTCCATAAGGATTACATTGAAACTTTGAGACCCAGTGGGGCGGATTCCTGAGAGACTTTTTTAACGCCATATAGATGTTGGCACTCACCGATATGGTCTTTATCACCATGCAAAATTTGAAAACGATATATTCAGCCGTCTAGGAGGAGTTTGCGTATTACGAAATGCATAAGAGTCGACGTATAAGAGCTTCGCTCGCATGGCTCGCTCTGCTCGATCAGTTATTGAGATGGGATGGGGACGCCACCTAAGTGCATATTTTAACCCAAACATATGTGAAGAATGAGTTTAGAATGAATTTAGATGATCTTTGCAGCTTTGTTACTGACTAAGACCAGTTGTTTCATCAGTCAGGACCATTTATTGAAAGCCCAATTATCAGGAACAGCTGAGTTTTTGGTGGCAATGCAACCGGTTGACTACCAGTATGGTACGGGGTTGTCGGAGCGGCACCTGGACGACCATACCATATAGTTCTTTCCATGCAAAATAGCACAGGCCCCCTAGTTACAAAAAAGTTTGTCAGCATAATTAAGTTTCCGAAAGAGAACTCTAGTTCTAGGAATAGATCACATGTAACGTAGGGGGGTGAACTTTTACCATTTGTCATTCAGCTAAATAAGCATTAAAATGACACCTCAACCGTAAAAATCTGGATCGCTAAAAAGGGACGCAGCATCGAAACCCTTCATTGTATTAAAAAGAGTGCAGCATACCTAAAATTCATTGGGTCAGTATGTACGCTGTCTAGTGAGATCGATTTTATAAAAGTTTAAGGTACTTTCCTGTTAAAGGGAACATTCATTATTATCGATGATTTTTTTTCAATATATCGATGTTGTTGTTTTCCGATCTATTACAAATTGACAACTAACTGATCTTGTTTTTGTTTAAGCTAAAATAGTCTGTTATATGGATTAAGAAATGAAACCGTTCTAAGCTAACCTAACACAACTAACCAAACTAGCTGTACCATTTAAAAAAATCTGTTTGGGTTTGAATATAAAAGGCAAGTTATAAACACGGAATTTTTAAATGTTACAGCAAGTTTGGTTAGTTACGTTAGGTTATTTGTTTTAAAACAGTTTCATTTCATTAATGTTTGTTGATACTGAACAATATTTTTCGTAGTTGTCAGCTGATATGTTTCAATTTGTTAACATCGATATATCGAGAAAAAATCATCGATAATAATGAATGTTCCCTTTAACAGGAAAGTACCAAGTTTAATTAAACAAGACAGATGGGAAAAAATAAAGTTTGCTTTGGGAAGGATATACAGGGTGGTCATAAATTATTGTACACATTTTAAGATCAAATAAATAAAAAACCAAGCAACATAGAACTATGGAAATTGGTTTATTAAATAGCAAATTTAAAACAGTTTTATACAATAACTACAAAAATTTAATTATAAAAATGTCAACAATTATGAAAAGTAGTTTTTAAAAAAC